CATGTTTTGAATATCTCTAGGGAAGGAGATGCCACAACCTCTCTGGGCAGCCTGTTCAGTGCTCTGTCACCCTCACAGTGAAAAAGATTTTCCTCACGTTTATGTGGAACCTTCTGTGCTCCAGCTTGCATCAGCTGCCCCTTGTCCTGTCATCGGACATCCCTGGGAAGAGCCTGGCTCCCTGCTCCTGACACTCCCCCTTTACATGTTTATAAATGTTATTGTGGTCACCCCTCAGCCTCCTCTTCTCCAAGCTAAAGAGCCCCAGCCCCTTCAGCCTTTCCTCATAAGGGAGATGTTCCACTCCCTCCATCATCTCTGTGGCTGCGCTGGACTCCTTCCAGCAGTTCCCTGCCCTTCTGGAACTGGGGGGCCCAGAACTGGACACAAGATTCCAGATGCGACACCAGGGCAGAGCAGAGCGGGAGGAGAACCTCTCCCGACCTACTAGCCAGGATGCCACTGGCCTTCTTGGCCACAAGGGCACGTTGCCGGCTCATGGGCATCCTGCTGCCCACCAGCACCCCCAGGTCCTTTTCCCCTACGCTGCTCTCCAGCAGGTCAGTTCCCAGCCCATACTGGTACATGGGGTTGTTCTTTCCCAGGTGCAAGACTCTACACTTGTGCTTGTGGTAGTTCACAAAATTTCTCCCCGCCCAACTCGCCAGCCTGTGTAGGTCTTGCTGAATGGATTGATGAATGCTACTATGCTAACTTATGACAACCTTACACATCAATATATTAAAATATTCTCTTGGTATTTCAGGATTCATTTTCTAGTGTATTTCACATGGAATCGGAGCAGTTAGAAGATTCAGCAGAAAATCTGAAGAGGTAAGACAATTAATTCAAACTTCTGTTCATCACGGGAGAATGTTGAAGAAACTAAGGATTTAATATTTTTTTTTCCTCCATAATAGCAGACCTTATTTCCACTGGCTACTATGTATTACTGCTTTTTTTTTTTTTTTTATAAAACAAGTTTGGCCCTGAAATGTATGTAGACAAACTCTTACAGCCTTGAAAAGGTCCCACTGAGCAGAATTGGAGAGTAGGGCCTTATCTCTTCACTTTGTCATGTCTAAGCACATAGTTCTATGGCAAGGCTAAGTGATGGAAATATATAAAAAGTGAGAAGTGAAAATCTAAGGCTGTGGGGATTCTCTAAACTCTAAGAAATCTGCAGAGATGACTGTTGTAGAGTAGGTGTATTCACAGAAGTACATACTAATCCTAGTTATGGTTTTAATCAGTTATTTTAATAATTATTTTATAGATATGGAAGCTGACTTGGAGAACATGACAGACTCAATGAAAAATTAAGTCCTAAAGTTCTAACTTTCAGTTGTCTGAGAGAAACCACTAATAAGTTCAACTGGAAGGGAAAGATGAGGAAATAGTTGAATTAAAATACCTGGATTAAATAGTTAATAAATTTAGTCTGAGTCTCTGTTTTGAAGTTTGCAAATAATGCCTCCATTACCTTTCTCTGTCATCAAAACTCGTTGTTTCAAGTAATGTCAGTGATACAGTTGTATGTAAAATCTATTACTGTGGAAATAATGTGCAGAAAGAAAATGGAGATGTCTGCACCCCCTTGATCTTTTTTGCAGTGAACATTTACTATATTAAATTTAATTTCAAATATTAGAAAATTGTCCAAAGTGTGTGGCTAATAGCTGCTTAGCTGTATTATGATTTTAAATAATGTACAGCCAGAAAATACAGAGGTACAGAAGAGTATAAGATCACAGTTCCTTTTTACTTCCTTTTCTATACTAGCAGAAAGGTAAAGAGAATTTACCCTTCCTATTTCTTACACCTTTCATGGTTAGCAGTCAATGGATGTGAAGTGTAATTTACTGTTTGCATGAATTATCAGGAGATTGTTTCTCCTAACTGATAGGGAAGGATTCTTGGAGGCTTAATTGCATATCTGAGTTCTGATCATGGGAGCACAGTTACATGCCAAGGAATGTCTATGAGTCAACCACTGGAGTTAGAACTTTGTGAATGGAGTTTTCCAAAGAGTTCTGTTTATTTCAATATAAAGCCAGTTGTTCGTTCTTTATTCTACATCTGTATAAACTGTCCTGACTTGTTTATTTCTTAAATTTAGTGTTCAATGTTAAGATTATTGATTATTAAAGAAATGGACTGTGTAGAAATCAATCCACGCCGCAGTTTTGTGGTGACAGCTGGATTAGGATACAGGATTTCAGTTCAACTCCATTATGTGTCTATTGGTTATATCCTTTCCTCGTACAGGAAAGATACAATTACTTGCTTTGCATAATGAACTGACCCATTTTCATACTAAGCATATAATAATAATACTGTTTTACCCTTCAGGGACTATGACACAAACAAAATCAATTATATGTATGCTCAATATGTCAAGAATACAATGGAGCCTCTTAACATCCCAGATGTCTGCAAAGACAGAAGATTTCCCTGGACGGTAAGAAACGTGAGCTTACATCTGATACGGAGAAATGGAGAATGTTTTTCTGTTTACTCTCAAAGCTTTTCTCTCTTCCCCTTCCTATTTTTATTTACTTAATGGCCACAGTTAAAATTGCACAATCACAAAGCAAGGTACATCTGCCTGATAAAATTCATCATCAGTAAAGAGAAGGAAGAATACTCACAGTGAGCTGGGTGGCCAGAGGAGAGATTTATCACCACACACATTAATAAAGAAGTCTAATACCTGTTTAGAGAGTTGCAGTGTGTTCTTTGGAAAACATGTAGTGAGGAACAATTGGAGGTTTTCAGAGTAATCCTTGGTGGTTTACTGTGAATATTTGGAGGCTCTCGGGTTTTCCTTCCCTTTTATCTTTTTTTTTGTGCCAGAACCTGTGTTCTGGCACAGGTCAACGTTACAGACAACTTCTTTGCTGATTTCAGGAAGTAACAACACCACCTTTCTACGGGAGCTTTTGTTTCACGCTTCATCAGGTGTGAGCTTGTGGTACGGTGTATGACTCAACACAGACACTGTGGAGTTAGGAGGAAAGGTCACTTGGCTGGACTCAGATTATAGTGAGGTTGCCTTCAAAGTTACCAACAAAAAGCAAAATTGTAATTCTATATTTTCCTGCCAATGTAGAAATTAGGAAGATGTTTGCTCTCACTATGTTTAAGCCTGTTGGCTAGTGTAATAAAAGGAAAAGGAGTTATGATGATCAGCAGATAGCTTTTTTCCAAATTTCTTCCAAGATGCACAACAAAAATGTCAGAAAATAGTGTTCAACAGGATTCTTCCAGTAAGTGGAAAGAAGGGCAGGTTCGAGTGGGGAGCTGGTTTCATGGGTGTTTTGTGTGCGAGGTTTCATGGATGCTCTGAAGTGCATTTCTGTGAAGAATTGAGAAACTGAGTGCTCACAGCTTTGCAGTACAGGGCCCAAAGCTATCTTAACTGCAGGAGTGGCAGTAAACCCACATTCAGATGGATATACTGTTTTAGAGCAATGAAGAGAGAAGAAGACTTTTAAAAATAAAATTAATACCTTGAGAGTCATCCCAACAACTCTTTGTCTGAACTCTCTCACTTTGTCAGTATGATTTGAGGTTTTTGCCTGGAATCTAGGTGACTTGCACCTTATGCATGTAAAAGTAGTTCATAAAGAAAAGTACTGCTCGAAAGAATTTTGAATAGTATTTTTTAACAAACAGCGGCTGCATCTCCACCACTGTGTAGGGGAACTCTCACAGCAGGGCTGGAAGCTAAAGCCTATCTGACCTCTTCTCAGCTGCACTGGGTGGAAGGCTTTGTCTTGGTGTCGAGTTGTTGTTTTTGTGGAAGTGGTACCTTCTGGTGAAAGAACCTGTTGTAAAATGAGCATGTTTTTAGCACAATTACACAAGTTACTGTAAACTCTTACTGAATGAAGTTTATAATCTTCAACTGTATTATTATTCACCAATGCTTGTATCAGATACAGTGTTTATTATATCATCCAGCTCTAGATGTGCAAAGTCTTTGAAGATGTGATTGATTTTTGAAAGATTATGTAAGCCAAGAACAGTTGCAGACCCCAGCTCTATACCTTTTTCACTTGAGTGAAACATTGGTCTTTAAAATTGTAACCATTTGTTTTGTTGTTAACAGAATGACAATGCAGAAAATGTAAGCCAACACATGAAGAGCTTGTTGTGTACACCAATAAAAAATGGGAAAAAAAATAAAGTGATAGGTAGGTCTCTTTACAAAGAATATTTTTACACGTCTCAAAAGTATTTCTGTGCTCCAAAGTAACATCTCAGCAACATGGAATCTGAACTCAGTAGGAAAAAGTCCTTAATTATCATGTTTTACAGTAAGAAGTCCATTGCAACCTTGACTGTAAATTGCTTACCTAATAAGTTATGATGTATCTACAACACTCTTGTAACACATCCCCATTCAAAACCTTTTTGTAAGTAAAACTATTTTCATGACTTCCTGTGCAGAGACTCCGTTAT